GGGGGGGGGTGGGCAGCAGCAGTAGGTGCCCTCTCCCCCGGCCTGAGCTCGGTCCTGGGCGCGGCCCTGTCCTCCTGCAGGGCGGGGGAGTAGCAGCATGGTCCAGGCTGTACCATGGGGCCGGAGAGGGTGACAGCCAGGGAGCTGTGTGAGAATGATGACCTCGCCACCAGCCTGGTCCTTGACCCCTACCTGGGCTTCCGCACGCACAAGATGAACGTCAGGTGAGGGGCCCCGCAGCCGCCCCCTCTCCGTGGGTGCGGGGCTCACTCATCGCTGCTGGTTACACATAGGCACCCCGTTAGCCCTCTGGTACACATGAGCAGGCTGAGGCTCCGGGGTTAGGCCGTGGGTGGGTGGCAGGCTGCAGGGATCCTTGGGAGGGGCCCTGTCCCAGGAGCCTTCCAGTGCCTCCCTCTGGTGTCCCAGCTCCCTAGCCTTGGGAAGAAGGGGCTGTGCCCCTCCCCCACATCCGTGAGGTAGTGGAGGGTTTCCATGTTCAGTTGTACAGCAAGGTGGGCCAGTGGGTAGAATGCTGGGCCTGGAGTCAGGAAGACCTGAGTTCAGATCCTGCCGAGGACACTTCTTAACTACGTAAGCCTGGGCCAGGAGGCACTAACCCTTCTCAGCCTCTGTTTCCTCCTGTGTAAAATGGGGATAGCCTGCCAGGTTTTTGGGACGCTCCACAAAAAGGCCCGCTGTTACTGTTACCGCTAATCACGTGAGAGCAGCTGTCCTGGCCGACGCAGGCCAAAAGAAAAGCACTCCCAGGCCTCTGAGATCCCTTTCTGTCCCGTGCCTCGCAGCCCGGTGCCCCCTCTGCGTCGGCAGCACCACCTGCGCTCGGCGCTGGAGACCTTCAGGAGGCAGCGAGACCTGGAGGCCGCCTATCGGGCCCTGACCCTGGGCGGCTGGATGGCCCACTACTTCCAGAGCCGTGGCCCGCAGCAGGAGGCTGCCCTCAAGACCCATGTGAGGGGGAGACCCTCCCCAGCCCTCCGCGTGAGCGGGCTGCTCCCTGTCTGTCCCTCCCCTCCCCCCAGGCCCCTGGTGACCCCCACTCACTCCCTAACTCCCTCTTCCCCAGATCTACCGATACCTTCGAGCCTTCCTGCCTGAAAGCGGATTTGCCATCCTCCCCTGTACCCGCTACTCCCTGGAGACCAATGGGGCCAAGGTCGTGTCTACGCGCTCCTGGTAAGGAAGAGTCAGGCCTGAGGGAGCCTGAGCTGCCGGGGAGCAGGGAGGGGAGGAGGGCCACCCCTGTCCCCAGCCCCCCAGGTAGACTGGCTGCAGGCTGCCCATGCCCTCCGGCCCAGGAAGAAGAACGAGAAGCTGGAGCTGCTAGTGGGATGCATCGCTGAGCTGCGGGAGGCCGACGAGGGCTTGCTCAGGGCCGGCGAGAATGACTTCAGCATCATGTACTCCACGCGGAAACGCAGCGCCCAGCTGTGGCTGGGCCCCGCAGCCTTCATCAACCACGGTGAGGGCTGGCCGCAGGCCGGCGTGGGAGGGGCCGGGGAGGGGGCCCGGGGCCCCCCGGCCTCACTCGCCTTCGTTTCTTCTTTTCTCGTTCCCTGGCGGCCCAGACTGCAGACCCAATTGCAAGGTAGGCTGGAGGAGAGAGATGGGGGGCATGAGAGGGGTGGCTCGAGGCTCTTCTCAGGGAGCAGGATGCATCTCCCGATTCTGCAGCTTCTCAACCAGAAGGACTAAGGCCTAGCGGGGGGACGGGGCAGGAGAACTGAGAACAAGGCCTTTGCCACGCGGGAGGGCCGCCTCTGGATCTGTCCCCTCCGTCCCCCTGCCTGGGGTGCTCTCCAGGGGATGAGAGCTGAGGAGGAGGGGCCCCCAGTTTGTGCCCGCAGACGGGAACGCGGCCTGCGTGAAGGTGCTCCGAGACATCGAGCCCGGGGACGAAGTGACCTGCTTCTATGGGGATGGCTTTTTTGGGGATCGAAATGAGCTTTGTGAGTGCTGCACCTGTGAGAGGTGAGCCTGGCCCGGCCTGGCCTGCGCCGAGCTGCGGGGGGCCCCCTTCTGGGGTGGGGGGAGGGCTCAGCCACCCTGAGCTGCGGCGGGACCCCTTCTGAGAACTGTGGGGGCCCTCTCCTGGGGTGGGGGGAGGGCTCAGCCACCCTGAACCACGGCAGGGCCCCCTCTTGGGATGGGGGGGAGGGCTCAGCCACCTTGAGCCACGGCAGGGCCCCCTCTTGGGATGGGAGAGGTGGGGCTCAGCCATCCTGAGCCGTGGCAGGGCCTCTTCCTACCCGCCCCCCACCCCCAGCATCCTGGCTTTTTTCCCTCACCCTCAGGAAGGGAGAAGGCGCCTTTCGCCTGCGGCCCCGGGACGCGGCAGCCGCCACTCCCAGGACTTGTGAAAAGTATGACCTCAGAGAGACCGAGAGGCGTCTGCAGCGTTACTGGGAGGCCCAAGGGATGCGGCAGGGCCTTGGGCCTCTGGGGGCTCAGCGCTGTTCGCACCTGCGCACTTTGCGCCGCCTGGACCTCCTGTGTGGTGAGCCTCCGCCTGCCCCCGATCTCCTCGGCCTCGTCCCCCCCGGGGGCCCCTCTTTGTCAGCTGGGTGTCCCCGGCTGCCCCCACCAGCGCTTTATGTTTTCTTCCCGCAGCACTCTGCCAGCCCCTGCGCCTGCAGCCTTTTGGTACTCATTTGGACCCCTCTGCCTTGTGGGTACAGTGGCTGCCACGGCCCCACCCTCCCCGCCGCCGCCGTCGCCGCCGCCGTCCCCCCCGCCGTCGGCCGACCCGGCCGGCCCCTCACCCTCGGGTCCCCCGAGTCTCCCTGCACCGGTGGGGGGGCTGTGGTCCCCAGTGCCGCCTTTGCGGGGAGGTCACTGTGGCCTTGAACCCAGTCTCTGCCTCAGCCCCAGCTCGGCCTGCCCCACTGCAAGACTGGCATTGGGCCCGGAGGTACGGCCTTCCCTGCGTGGTTCGAGTGGACCTGAGTGGTGCCAGCCCGCTCCCTACCGCCCCTGCCAGCCTCAGGCCTGCGGGCCCCGAGCCTCCCAAGCGGACCCTGGCCTTCGGCCCTTTCTCTCCGCCTAAACGTCTGCGCCTCGTCGTCAGCCACGGCTCCATCGCCCTAGATGTTAACGGAGGGCACTGAGGGCGGGTTTGGGGGCACCTTTTCTGCCCCCGTCGCTCTGCCTCTGACAGGCTTGAGTTCTCGGGAGGCGGGAGTTGGGGGTATCGGACCCCTTCAGCATCTACCTAGCAGGGAGTCACCTCTCGACCTCCAGAGGGCAGCCTGCCTTAGCAGGGAGCCTTGGTTTTTGCCTCAGGGGGCCGTCTCCTTCCTTCAGCCCTCGGGAGTTGGCGAGGCTGGAGCACAGCCATGGATTTCTTTTCAGCACCCTCCTCTCCTGGGTTGGGGGGTCCCTGTGGGGAGGTGTCCCTGTGATCCTGCCAGGGAGCCAGACCCTCTCTATCTCTCCCTCAGGCCAGAGGGAGAGGGGACCTTGGGGGTGCTAGGCTTTCAGGGCTTCCTTTTCCTTTTCCTTTTCCTCCCAGCCAGGGGCCCCAGGGAATTGGGGTGGGGGGGGGCCTAGATTTCCAGGTGCTGCCTCTCCCTGGCCGGGAATGGTCCCTTGGACCCTGCTTGGGCCACTCCTCCGGCCTGGGGCGCCTTTTGGATTCCTATACCTTTCATTAGGAGCCAGCTCCTTCAATGGAACAGGACTAGCTTTTCCCCAGGGGCAAGGGTCTGGCTTTCTGGGGGCCTTTCCTCTCCTTGCATACCAAGCAGGCCCCAGGCCAAGCCCTGGAGGCTCTGAGGTGGGCAGGAGGGAAGGGTGCAGGTAGCCAGGCCCACTCTTTTGACCCAGCAGGGATAACCTTAGCAAGGGGCCACCCCCTGACCCTAGCCCCCACCATGGGCCAGGGGGCAGAGGGGAGCTATCTGCCTCAGTGGCAGGAAGATAGAGCCTAGGACATATGTGGGGGGTGCCCACATTCCCAAACCCAGCAGGGAGGGATAGGCAAGGATCCCCTCCCCCCAAGCCTCAGGATGGTTTTGACTTTACCTCCCGCCTCAGTGGCACACCGCCCCCCCCTTCTCCAGGGAGGAAAGCCATAAAGAAAGGGGGGGATGGAGGGGGGAGGGGGGTCTTTTGCGGATGGCACTCTTTTCCCCCCTCCACATACATACCCCTCTGGCTCTCAGGGAGGCCACCCCACCTCATCTTTCTCATGGTGCTATAGTTCTGGTGCCTCCTGGGGAGTGAGGGGAAGAGGGGGCCAGCACAGCCTGGGGCCCTGGGCCTCACCACCCCCATCCCAGGGATTGGGGTCACTGGGTGACGGGCAGTTTGCAACTTTTTTTTTTTTTTTTTTGATAAAAGTCCTTCTTGTTAAGTGTGTCTTCTCCGAGGATTTCTTTGGGCTTGGGGGGGGGTGTCCGAGGCTTTCACTCCTCACTTCCACACTGACTGGACACAAGCCAGGCCCTTGTAGGCCGTGGGGGCTGGGAGGGGACGCAGTGAGCACTTGAGGCTTGTGGACAGCTTCTAACCTTCCCTGCCTGGGGGAGCGGGTCTCTGGGCACCCTGGGGTGAGAGCTGGGCCGAGCTCCGGCCTCCTGCCTTGCTGCTGCTGGCCAGAACCTGAGCTGAGCTCTGCTGTGGGAGTTCTGAGGAGACGTTTCTCCCCGCCCCCAACACGCACACACACGCACACACACGCGCACACACACACACACACAACGCGCATCCTTTGTCTTCTGCCTTGCTGGGCCTGGAAAAGAGGACAGCGGCTTTTGGGGGTTGTACAGTGTCACTGTATTCCAGAGGTGCTGACAGGGGGCCCCGGGCCAGGGGATGAGCAGGGAGAGGGTCCATCAGATCTTCCCAGGGAAGGTTCCCTCCTGGATCTGCTCATTCCAGCGCTGCACCTGTGGGAAAGGAGGCAGCCATCCAGAGCCCGATCCCCTCACCTCCCCTGCCCCCTCCCTTCCCCTCCCCTCCCCTCCCCGCTGCTCACCCAGCTAAGAGGGCACAGGGCCTGGAAGACCTTGCGGTAATAGTCGCAGGGGGACGTGTCCTTCCCCTTCTTCCTCATGGTCTTGGTACAGCGGTGAAAATCTGGGAGAAGTGGGGCCAGGCGGTCAAGCCGGCACTCCCCTGCAGCGCACCTCAGGTGGGGGGCCAGCGCTTCCCTGCCCCCTCCTCCCCCCCACCAGCTGGGGGGCCCCAGGCACCCCACTCCCTTCCAGCTTTGGGGTCAACCCGGCTTTCTCTGCCTCCACCCCTCACTGTTGGGGGTCACTCCCCTCCTCCACGAACCCAGGAAGTTCTGGTAACAGTTGCGGGTCTGGTTCTGATTCGGAAAGCGGGGATCGAAGGGCGGGGTTGATGGCCTGTCCATTGCCTTGGTCCTTAAGCCGAGGGGCTGGGGGGGCTGGGGGCCTGGGGAAGAGGCCAGAGCGAGCCACCTGTAAGGGGCAGCCCCGCCCCCAAGGGCAGATCTGCCCCTACTGGGGAGCCCCGCCCCCAACTGATAGCTAGCCCTGCCCTCGCTGGCTGCCCCGCCCCAAAGGGCAGATCTGCCCCTACTGGGAAGCCCCGCCCCCAACTGATAGCTAGCCCTCCCCCGAAGGGCAGATCTGGCCCTACTGGGCAGTCCTCCCCATAACTGATAGCTAGCCCCGCCCTCGCTGGCAGCCCCGCCCCCAACTGATAGGTAGCCACTCCCTCGCCTGGTAGCCTGGAACCCAGCACTGTCCCACCAACCGCCTTTGTGCCGGAGGAGGAAATGAGGTCCTTCGGCCCCCGGCTGCCGCGGTGACCCATACCGTGCCCTGATTGGCTGTGCCGGCCGCAGCCCGGCCAATGGGCTCCCACCGCACGCAGAAGGTTCCCTTCTAGAACTCGAGCCTCCACCACTCTTCTGTTGACCCCATTTCACAGGAGAAGAAGCTGAGGCAGCTGCTGGTGGGAAAAGGGAGGTCCTGGGAAGTCGCAGCACCTGGAGGGGCCAGAGGACCTTAACGGCCAGGGGTCCTCCATCCTGTGCTTGGAGATCTCCACCCCAAGCAGCCCATTGTACTTGGGACCTCGTGAGGAAGAAGAATTAAAGCTGAAGCTGCCTTTTTTCAACCCACCCCCATGCCCATTTACTTCGGGTTCTTCCCTCTGGAATGGAGCCAACAATCTTCAGATTGCTCTCATCTTCCCTGAAGAGCCAGCTCGCAGCTGAGCCCCCTAGGACGTCCGCATCCTGGTGGCCAGAGGGCAACGCCTTCCTCTGCAGGCGCAATCGGTCCCCTTCGTCCCCATCTCTTCCCGCAAGCTGCTCCCTCTGCCATTCTCACTCATCTTCAATCCTCAAAAAAACTCTCACTTGATCCACGTGCCAGGCGCTCTGTTCAGTGCTGAAGACAGAAAGAGAAAGCAAGAATACTTATCTTCAAGTAGCTAACATCCTAAGGGGGTGGCGAAGAGGGGATCCCGTGGACTGGGAGACCTGGCCTCCTTCAGAGCCAGTTGACCAGAAGAGGCTGACGATGAGCGATGAGGGAGGCGACAGCCTGCTGGCGGAGATGGGATCCATTGTGCGTGGAGAGGAACGGGGTTGCTCTCTGGGTGGCATGGGCGAGAAAGGACACTGAGAAGCTGTCACTGTCACTGCGAGGCTGATCAGCGGTACCCAGCGGCGTGATTTCATATGGAGCCGTATTTAATTTCTTCTCTCTCAAGATCTTTTTGGATGCTGACCGTCACCCAGGCTGTTAGCTATCCCTCTCCTTTGTGTTATTTGCAGATTTGATAAGCTGGCCGTTTTTACTTTTATCCAAGCTTCTGGTTAAAAAACAAAAACAAAAAGATTAAGCAGCCCAGAGCTGAGTATGGTGATCAGGGACACTTCCACTGGAAACCCTTCACTGAAGTAAAATTGAAGCATTAATGATGAATCTTTGAGTCCTGCCATCCAATCTCATGGCATTGTTGTCTGATCCCCATCCCTCCAACATCTCCAAGAGAGTAACACGATATCTTATCAGAAACCTTCCTAGAGGGGCAGCTAGGTGGCGCAGTGGCTAGAGCACCAGCCCTGAACTCAGGAGGACCTGAGTTCAAGTCTGGCCTCAGACCAAACACTTGACACCAGCTCTGTGACTCTGGGCAAGTCACTTAACCCCAATTGCCTAAAAAGAAAAGAAACCTTGCTAGAATCCAGGTAAACTTTATCAACACCATTTCCCTCATCTATCTGCTTGATAACCATGTCCAAAAAGGAAATCAGGTTAGTCTGGCGTGACCTGTGCTTTCTAAAGCCAGCCTGGCTCCTTGAAATCACTGTTTCCCTTTCTAGATATTCACCAACCATCCCTGTAATGTTCTGTTCTAGAATGTTCCCAGGATTCAAAGGAAGGCCACTGGCCTAGAGTTTGCAGGCTCTGTTCTTTTCCCTTTTTTTAAAAAATTGGGACATCTTCCCTTCTCTGATCTTGGGGTCTCCCTCCCTCCTGTTTTCCATAGTCTTTCATATATTCCTAATTGTTGTCTATCCTTCATTCTCAAAAAGGATGATTAAGATGGTGATGCCATGACATGCAAGTGAATTGGATTTAAGTGAGAAAGTGTTATGCAAAGAAAGCCACCAGCCTCACTGTCTCCTCCAGAGCCATCTGGGTCCATGCAAGATATCGATCAGGACCATTAGAGATGGCCCTAAGGTCTTTAACAGGTCTCAATATGATTAAGGCAATGCCCATTTAGAGATTAAGGCTAGGGAAGAAATGAGACAGAGAATGGTTTCTTTTACTTAATCACAAACAGATCTGGGAGGGAAGGATGCTCAGGGTTTCTGGCCAAAACAGAAACAATTGTTTACGTTCACTATGAGCCAATCGGGGCCCAAACAGTGACCAAGCGGGTCTTGGCCTGGGACCTATTGTTGGCCAAGCAATGAGAACCAGAGTGATTATATTACTGATAGTGACTCGGCAAACACGTCAGCCAGTTATTTCAGTATCGGAGAATGTTGTTTGTATGGGCCACCAGTGACTTCAATTCATCAAAAGCAAGTAGCTACCCTCTCACTATCGGGCATCAATTCTCTGTCAGACAGTTTTTGTTCTGCTATTTCCAGTGCAAAGGTCTTTCTCCTTGGCAGCAAAAACAGAAGCAAGGAAAGAACTGGGCATCTCTGCCTTCTCTTGTCCTCTCTGTGGTCATCTGCCGTTCTCTCATCCATCCCAAGCCAAGGTCCAAACTTCAAAACCAAAAGCAAGGGACCTCTTAATTGTCCTAAGCTTCTCAATGTTAGCTTCTTGTGGTCCTTAGCTCTTGAGTTTTAGTGCTCCGGGAGCCATTTTTAGAAGACTGTATACCCCGATCTTCAGTTAGTAACCAGTGGGTTTTGTTGCTAAGCCCCTATTTTTGTTAAATAGTAATCCCATAAATCAGGTTGTGGGTGTGCAATTCAAAGTGAGACCAAAGCTTCTCCAGATCCCTCAGGGTCAAACACCCCAAACTCCACCCTTCAGCCTGACAGGACTGGTTACCCTATTAATTCAATCAGTTGGTTCAAAGGTAATCAAGCAGTATAGACTGACTGATGAGATTGCTCCTAGTCCTCAAGGCACATGCTTGTTAACTTTAGACAGGACCCCACCCAACTAAGAGACCTAATTTCTCTTTAGAGTATAAACAGAATCCAATCTGGGTAAGCCTTTGCCTGGAGGAGGAACTCCCTGTCCTTGGTCCCTTCCATTAGAATTTGGGGCAATTTAGTTCATGAAGAAGAAAAATAGCCAGATATATCCGGATGAGGGATGGCTTCCTCTGGCCCAGATGCCTTAAGGCTGCTAAATCACATGATCAAGCCAAATTCTCAGCAGGAGGAGCCGAAGACTTTAGCCCACCTCCTCATTAAATGTCCAAAAATCAGGGTTGAGTTTCGCTTGTCAGGGGAGTTCCCTTTCAGAAGGGATTTATAGCATTTCGGGGTCTCCTGTGGTGAGAGGAACCACTGACCATCGATTTATTGATTAAAGGCTAGCCTAATTAATAAATTTGATTATTAATTACTCAGAAACTTTGTCTCTCAGAGTTTTTATTTGTCTCCCTAATAATTACCTTCAAGATAAAAAATAAAAGCTTTCCTATTTGTACAACAATATTTGTAGCGGCTCTTTTTGTGGTGGCAAAGAATTGGAAATTGAGGGGAATGTCCATCAATTGGGGAATGCCCGAGAAAGTTGTGGTATATGAATGTGATGGACTACTATTGTGCTATAAAAAATGACCAGCAGGATGGTTTCAGAAAAACCTGGGAAGACTTACATGAACTGATGCAAAGCACCAGGAGCAGAACCAAGAGAACATTGTACACAGTAACAGCAATATTGTAACAGTGATCGACTGTGAAAGAATCTGAGATTCTGATCGAGGCAACGAATCCAAGACAGTTCCAAAGGACTCATGGTGAAAAATGTTATCCATTTCCAGAAAGGGAACTCATAAACTCTGAATGCAGAATGAAGCATACTTTTTTCATTTTATTTTTCTTTGTGTGTGTGTGTTTTCTTTTGCAACATAGCTAATACGGACTTCATGACTTCATATGTACAATCAGTATCAAATTGTTTGCCTTCTCAAGGGATGGAAAGAGAAAAAGAATTTGGAATTCACAATTTTAAAAAATGAATGTTAAAAATGTTTATATGTATTTGGGAAATACTTAATGAAAAATAAAATATATATTAAAAATTAAGTCCATTGTCTGGCATTTAAAGTTGTGCACACTTTGGCTTCTTCCAACCTTTCCCACCTTCTTTTGTCACTTTCATCTTCTCTTATTTCTCATGCTCCCTGGGATCCAGCTATACTGGCCGGCTTACTTACAGTTCTTAGAACTTCTCACTCCTCTGAGCATTTGTAGCAGCCACGCTATTCCTTGTCCTAGAATGCTCCTTGCCCACACCTCCTCCTCATTGTTTAACTGGCTTCCTTCAAGCCTCAGCTTAAATCCTACTTTCTGCAGGAGGCCTTTCCTGGTCCCTCTCAACTGTTAGTGCCTTCCCCTTTCGAATTCCTTCATCTCCTCTGTGTATAGCTTGTATGCACCTAGTTATTTATATGTTGTTTTTCCCATTAAAATGTCAGCTCTTTGGGGCCAGGGACCAACTTTTTTTTGCCTTTCTTTGTATCCCCAGTGCTTAGTTTGGTGCCAGGCACATAGTAAGTGCTTAATAAATGTGTGTTCACTGACTGATGTGACCCCACAAATCAAAATGTAAGATCTCTCTCATTAATTGAATACATAAACTCTGAACCCCTGCTCCCAGGTTAGAAAAAGTGGAGAAACCTATTTTCTCATAAACTTTCTCTCTTTTTTTCAGAAGCAAATCCTGGCATCTCAGGCTTAGGGAACATCAGCATTCCTGGCTAAATGACTTGTCAATAGCAATAATTAATGGCAAACCATACGTGTCAAGATATAAATACATTTGTGAATATTTGTGAGAAAGGCT